TTTATAACTATCATATTTTCCTTAGATTTATATGTTACCCAATTTCCTTAGATATATTGCTGCCATTCCAGTTTTTCTATTGCATGTTCTCGTTTCACACAATATACCACATGATTTATGTCTCTTGATTTTAATTCAGCTCTTACTTTGATGTAATCTTCGTTTTCTCCCCACTTAAACTAAATGTATTAGCGGGATTAATGACTATTTGTTATTGCAGATGTACTCTACCTTTGTGAGAGGCCACTTCTCCTCGTCCAATCTGTACTTCCTCTGCCCAAGCCCACTCACAGACACACAGTGGGCTGATGGGGAACTGATTTCTGAAATTTGATGGAATAAAAAAATATATTCTTCTCAGATGCAGGAAGTAATTCACACATGTTTTGTGCACAGGAAAATGTGAAATTGTGTCAAGACGCACATTTGGGTGTGTATGTGGGTGCACTGCTGGCTTGATTTGGGATGCAAACACATTGCATATGCTCATTTGAGCTGTCTGCCCACTGTGGCCACATAACAAGAGCTGTGCCGCAGAACCTGTACCCACCTCTCTGACCTGCTTGACACTTTGTTTCCTGTGAGGCCGGTCTACCACGTCTTCTATTATTAGATTTGAGAAGTAAAAGATGCTTGCAACACAGTCACATGAACATTTGACTCGTAGTCAAGTGTCCTGCCACAGTTTTGCGACTTCTACAGGAGAGACCGACTCTTCTTTCCAAAATAAAAGCAGTTTGTTTGCCTTCATCAATATCTGTACATAATATATGTAAAGAAATACTGCAATCCAAGCCTAAACATCTATACTTGGGTTTATCTTACCTGTTCTTATAAAACAAATTAGGGATGTCTTAACATTTTTTTATGAATGAAAGTCATGTCTAGTTCTAAGGGATTGTTCTCACCTTTTACAGAAAAATTACCTCCCAGTTCTTACTAAACACTTTTTCCAAACCTCACAGCAAAAAATGATAAGGAAAAATGAAAGAGGGATTCAAAAGGATTTAGGAGAAGACAGCTGCAGTGCAACAATTATCCAGTCACACATACTCAGCTGCAATGTGGATATGCTGTTGTTAAGGAACAGCTATTCAAAGAAAATCTATTACCAACTCATTTAAGTTCTCTAAAAACGCTGTTATTATGTCATTTCATGGAAGGTATAACATATTATTTATCATGTTAATTATCATACAAACTGTATAATATGAAATTATTACCAAGCATAATTATTTGAGAAAAGAAATCCACCAAACATTATGCAATGTTCCTGTTCTGTCACTGGGTTCTCACATTCAGTTTGATACTTTCCTATTCATCTTTACAAATCTCAAATAAAATTTCCATATGATGATAATTGAGCATCACTTTAAATGTTGTTATGGGCTTACATCCATTTAGAGATGGGTTTAATGTTTCCTCTGCTTAAGATGTAATGAAGCAGTGAGCATAATTTCATTGTCATTTAGAGAATTTAACTGGTCATCATCATAGGTACCACTTAGATAATAGCAGATTATTACATTCAGTTTGGAATATTTTTATGCAAACAAAAACTGAGTGACTGCATCAATGGACCAGACAGTTGATTTAATTTAGATGTATGTCAAACAGGTCCTTATTTCCAAGTCTCCCTGAAGTCCCTCCCTTACAACTATAACGAACTTGTATTAAGATGCAATGAATTAAAAAAAAAATGTGTGTGATTTGTTAGTAAGCATTTTTGTTAATACAGTCATTCATTTGATTGACTGATTTGATCCTTAATACGTGCAGGAACCACCACCATCTCTTATAGCACTGGTTGGAAGGCAATGTTAAATGGACAGAAATCCATTTTTTACATTTGGATTTTGAGAAATCCAAAATGTTAAATCATTATTTTAAAAAAAGCATTTTTTTAAAGTTTAAAATGTTGGTAACCACCAACCTGATCATAAGCCAAAGACATGTCAAAAGTAATATTTTGAACAGGACAGGAAAAAGATTTAGAAGGGGGGTCTTTCTGACGTAATGAAGGTTCTATTTTGCTTTAGCTACACTTATTGGGACACTGTTCCAAAAGCGGCATGGCTGCCGCGTACCGTCATAGCTGGAAAATCCAATCTACCCCTCTGTGCTTTTCTTGTGTTGTTTCTGCTGTACTCAAACTAATAGCTTCATTCCAGTGTTCATTCTGGGCTGTGACCTGTTGGTGTGTTGTGAGTCTAAGTGTGACAGGGAGTGTCTTAAAACCCAGCAGTGCAGAGATCCAGCGTGAAGTGAAACCATATATCCCACAAAGAGAAAACATAGACTTGTAACAAGAAAAAAAGTGTTGGGGAATTTGCTCTGCCTGCCATAAAATACTTTAATACATTTTAATTGATCATTAATTTTTATTGTTTCGACATTATTGTAATCTCTCTTAAATAATTACGCTTCTCAGTCAAATAAGCCCAAGATTAAAAATGAGTCTAAGAAAGATTTTCTTGCAACCCCCATCTAAAACAGTACTGCAACTATAAACAAGGTGGGAAACTATTAGTTTAATCCAGTGTAATTATTTTCTTATAATAAGATGTATTTTTTTTAGATTGAAAGTGTGTGCTAGTTTTGTGAATTTTCTCTCAATTTTCTGATTTTCTGCTGCAACATCTCTGGGCGTCAAGGTACTATTTCTAAACCATTCGCTCTTTCATGATGGCATTCAAAGCAGTTACTGTCAAAGGCAGAAAAATGATATCTCAGGAGGAGAGCGAAGAAAAGTTATCTTTCTTTCATGTTTACACTGACACGCTGGGAAAATAATATAGCTAAGTGAGCTAGTGTTCATGCAAAATATTGCTCCTTAACTTGTTGACATGATCAAGTGGATATAAATCCTCAGCCTCTGCATGTGCATGCAGACTCTCATGTGGCGTGTGTGTTTTTGTCTGATTCATGTCGAGGTGCAGACGTTCACTTGTGTTTGGAGCACACGGCTGCTCAGTATTATGGGGGGAAAGATTCAAATCAGATGACGGTTCCTCACACACTGAATTATACGCTAAAGAGCTAATTAACAAGGGCTGTTTTGGAGTTCACATGCTCCTCTGACATCTTAATTAGATCTTAATGACATTTCAGTTGGAATGACCGAACCCTGAAATGGTACAAAAACAGAACTAATATAGAGGGAGGAACAGGAGAGGGACTGACTCAAGAGAAAACTGCAGATGAGGACTTGGAGATGGAATGTGAAAAAAAACAAAATGGAAATGAGGATGGATGGAGGACAGTCACGTACTACACCCTGTGTTGGAATAGTATAGGTTTTGATTAACATTGATAAAGCCTTTTTATCTCTCATCTTCTCCGTGACTTTCCTTCACCCTGTCAGCCTTCCTCCCTCTTTACCCTTCTCCCAGTTGTACTATCCGTTGCCCAGCAATTACTTCTCCCATGTCCCAGTAGGGCCCCACCTCTTATGTCAGCCTCTTAATCATATTCTTAGCATTTATTACCATAACATTTCTGTCTGGAAATAACTAGATATGCCTTGCGCTGCCAGTGGAAGAACTGTGATGATGATGTTTCTGGCAGGTAGATGGCTGATTAGATACAAAAAAATCTTCGGTAGGGCTGCGTTTCGCATTGTGGACAGTTTCATATGGTCCATGGTGAATTGCAGGGAATAGTCTTTCATTCTTTTTTTTTAGTTGCTGGTGGGAAGGCTGTGTATTTTTAGCCGAAAGGTTGATGCACGTTTATGCAACTCCAAAGAGACTCAGCAGACTGCAATGAGAGAACAATGGGCTGCAGTGAATAGGAGACTTATTTTTAATAGCTCATGCGTATCTACAGTAGCGTGTGTTGGTTCCTTGTACGGTTAGGCTTATGCAGACAAAATCAAAACCTTGATCAAACCATCAAAGACTAATATTTCTGTTCCAGAGGTATAGCTGCTTTCATTTCCCTGGGCTCAGCTGGTCCTTCACTTTAAAGCACCCCTTAGAGGAGATGGGAGAAGGGAATAGGATGGGAGGAGGGAGAAAGAAACAACACATCAAACAAGGGAACAATGACGAGGCGATCGGAGAGAGCTCAACCTACAGATTAGATAAAAGAAAATGAGAGGGAAGGTTAGATAGAAGCCCCATAATGACAACAGTGGGCAAACAGTGTGGATGTAAGTTGAGAGATTGGGCAGCAGCAGACACATTTTTAGGAGAATGCTGGTTGGTACGGATAAAGTTCTATGTGCAGCATTGTTTGTTTATCGCATCTCTTTTCTTCCCGGGCCGTCTAACACATCTGTCTAGCATAAATCCAAATACAGCCACAGATAACTTGCATATGCCCCTTTTATGAACTAGTCTATGTTTACTTTCCTACCATGCCCCACGCTCTTGCTTTTTCTTTTTCTTTTTCCTTTGCATTGTTTACCTAGAAGTTATTACCCATTGGGGCATGTTTAGATAAAGAGATTTTTAGCAATTCTTACTTCAGCTCTTTCTTGCAAATGTGGATGCACTGATCCCTGTGTAATATGTTATTTTTCCTCTCTAGAAGGCACAATTTCCTCCTCTATAACTGCAAAGTGGAACACTGGATTCAAATAGTCTGTGATACACTTTCACAACCTACTTGGGCTGTAAGGCAACTGCTCTGAATGGTTTATTTTCATGATGCAAACACTTAACTGTTGCTGAGGCCGATTCTTGCTGTTCCCAAGCAGATGTGCAGCAAATCCAGGGCAGAGATAAGCTGGCAAAGGCGCCGGCAAACTAATCAGCCTCTTTGTATCTGCCTTTTCCTGCCTTTTTCTGCATTGCATAGTGTCTGTCCTTTGACCAGGCTAACTCCTGACCCATTTAAGTTTCACTAGAGAATCCAGCAAGTTTGATTCCTCTCCCTATATTCGGGGGATGGTAAGCAATGGTCCTAAAAACAGATGTGTCTGATCACTGAACACATAATATAGATAATGTAAGTGTCTTTGCTCGTCTACTGCATGTGTTTATCTCCGTGATAAGAATCTAAAAGCCTGCGGTTTGTGGCTGCACTATGTGCGTACCAGGTTCACCGAGGCAGACACCATTGTGATGGGGGACGTGACATATGGGGCCTGCTGCGTGGACGACTTCACCGCTCGAGCCCTGGGAGCCGATTTCATGGTGCACTACGGCCACAGTTGTCTGAGTGAGTTTCATTATTCTCCGTTTGCTTGTTTATCTATTTCACCATGTGTATGAAATCAGATTGCACCTGAAACGGCAACAACAACAAAACAAGCATCAAGGACTCACACCCACTGAGAGGGGGCTGCATGAAAAAGGATCATCAACAAAGACAGAGACTGACAGATGGAGCTATCAATGAACGGAAGATGTGACTAGTTAGTGCAATCTGCCATCCTCTTATATGGAAAGAATATCAGACCTTTGGAGCCTGCGCATCGCATTTACTCGGCAGATCGATGGGCAACATGCATTAGAGCCGTCCTTTGAATACCTCGAGCACTGTTTGAGGACATTCACCCTCACCTGTCTGTCTCTCGCAGAACATAGGAGGAAATGTTAAATCAATAGTTTTGATATATTTCTGCCAGAGCAACCTCAGCCCTTCAAAATACCAGAAATGACCAACAGAATTTTAATACAACTAATGCAGCAAAACTAAATTCTTGCCGTCTGTATGTAGATGCCTACATTATTTATTAATCATGAGAGTATTTAGTAACCATGAGAGTGCACTTTTGTGTGTTTGAAATAGCTACACATTCCTATTTATTTTAAAACACACCCAGTATTTCAGATTTTAAAAGAAGTATACACATACAATTTTGCTTTGATTAATAGATAATAGCATATTTGTTTACAATTAATAAGCTGCCACGCTAATTGACCTTATTGCCATAACACGTCGTAATACTACCAGTTGGTGCAAGTGAGTCCTTTCTGTCTCTTTTACTGCCTCTAAACGCAGCACCCAAGTGCACTCAGGCTACCATGCTAATGTGAATACAGATCGATGTCACTTTGCTCTGCCCTTTACGCCTTGGGAGTGCCCATAAACAAGCAAATGACTGCTGTTATTCTCTCTAGTGATGGGTTAAATAAGTCAAATTCTTTTCTATCCCAGCTACAATTTACCACCGAATGTTAAACTTCTCGCTACTTGTCTCAATTTGTGCCAAACTTTATAAATGCTTGTCCTTTTTGTTACTCATTCATTTCTACCGAAACATGGGTCCATTCATCACTTCTCACCTCACATTTATGTACTGAGTATTGTGTCACTCTAAATCCATTCTAAATCATTTAGACTTTTTATAGTTGACTAGGAAATCATCAATGCCACCTCCTAAATTGAATTGGTTTTTCCTAGCATACTTTTATAGAGATTCCTTATTGCTCACCTCTGTTTCAATCAGTCCTCTGTTGAGACAGCAGCTTCTCTTTCTACAATTGCGATGTGTTTTAGTGCACCTTGCCATGCTTTGCTCCAGTGTTTCTCTGTTATTGTTACTAAGCCATCAAATGAGCAGCCCCGGCCCCTAATTTTTTTTGCACCTTAAAGGGCCATTTATTTAATTGTAACAAAGAGCCCTCATGCTCCTCATGTGCAAATTATATATAACCTGGGGGGGGGGGAATACAATCATGTTGATAAATACAAGAGTGCTCCTGTGCCCCCCCCCCTTCGTTTTGTCTTCAGCCCTTGCCTACTTTGCTCAGCATCTGAAACGGCAAGTCTCAAACTGTGTCTCCTAGACCCGGTGGCGTGGTAAATGGCCTGTGAAATTAATGGCATTAATAGCAATCACATGTGTCCTTCTTCCCTAAATAATTGAGGTTTTTTTCATCAGTTTCCGCATCAGCTAGACTGGAAAGACCGAATGAGTTTCAATTATTTCACACAGGTGCCAACTTTGCCAGGAGATTTCTTTGTCTAATGCTATCCATATAGGTGTATGCCTGCATGTGCAGCGCTGTATTGTTGGAGGCCCCATCAATATTGCATGTAATGCCAGCTTACCTGACATAAAAGATTTAATAATTCAACCGTCTTCTCTTTGTGTTTGCCTTCTTGCAGTCCCCATAGATTCCACGGCGGGCATTAAAATGCTGTATGTGTTTGTGGATATCCAGATGGACAACGCACACTTCCTGGACACAGTCAAGTTTAACTTCTCTCCTGGACAATCTTTGGCACTTGTCAGCACTATTCAGTTCGTGGCCGCGCTGCAGGTGATCGTGCATGGCTTGTGTCTGATTCTGGGTGCATATGAATGAGCTCAGTTAGTAACATCGGAGCCGATAAAGGCTATTTTTTCCTTACTCAAGTTATAGTTTTAAATTGTGTGTATATTCTGTATGATATGATGCTATTTGTATGTACAGAACACTCTTATTCATCCCAACACTTGCACATATTACTTTTGTGATTCCTTTCTTTTATAAACACTCTACTCTGAAGTGCAATTCAAGTGTGGGTTAGTGTAATCCGGCAGCTGTTATTTTTTTATTTGAACAGTGCAATGACCTCAGGAGGCCTTTCAGTTCAGCACTGTGCTCACTGTACATTTTATGTAAGAAGTGGCAGCAGCTGTAGTATTAAGCTTTAACATCCTTCTTCCAGGCTTGCTGCCCTCCTATCTTATAATGTGCTCCTCTGCGTTCATTTGCCAAGTTGAAGAAATACAACTTTCGCTAGTCTAAACACTTCCATCATAAAGTTATTTTCTACCAGCTTGGGTAAGATTGCAATATATGCAAAGGTCTATGGGTATTTACGTGTGCGTATGTGTGTATCTGCATGCATTTATTTTTTTATGTTTGTTTAATGGTTTATGAATGGTTGACAAAGCAAATTTCTTTTAGTCACAATTAATGCTTTCATAAGCTACATTTTCTCATGGAAATGGATATAACTCTTATAGTAACATTTAGATCCACTATTTCAGTGACGTATTAACTGACTTTTCTCATTCTCTGCCCCATTGCTCAGCAACTAGCCCATATTTTACAGTTCAATTTACATTTTCTCCTGCACCAAGCCATTGACCCTGTTACATTTACTGTTAAGATTTAGTTTTTCTTCTATATTCCAGATATGCTCCAGTTGTTTCTCTATTTGAAATGAATCAAATGACACAGTGCACACAACATTAAAGTACTTTATTATACATGCCATATAATATCATTTTGAATATAATATCATTTACAAAATTAAGATTACTAAAATAATTGGAGATTAGAACATATTCAAAATTTTCATTTCACCCCAAAAACATTACTTGTCATCATAAATGTTTAATAGAGAGCTTACATCCTGTGCAACAGTTGAAGATATTTTGCACAGGACTACATTAAGACAACAGATCCCCTCTACATGTTGGCTTAAATGTCACAGTGTTCACTATGTAAAGGGAGAATTCACAATGTTTAGGACATACCTGTTTACCCATTTGAGACTTCTGAGTGTTATTCCTTCTCTCTTCCTACACGTTGCAGGCCGTGAGCGCAGCACTGAAAGCAGAGTATGATGTGACTGTCCCACAGTGTCGCCCTCTGTCGCCGGGAGAAATTTTGGGTTGCACATCCCCTCGTTTGGATCGCCATGTTGATGCCATAATGTAAGAAATGCCTTTCCTGCTATCTTTTTGTTTTGTTTTGTTTTATTTTAGATTGTCAGAACTTATCATTGATCCACTCACTCATGATCCACTTGCCTCTCCGTAGTTATTGTCAGTCCCACGTCAAGCCATGTGCTGTAAGTACTATTGAGTGCAATCATAATTCAGCCAAACAGGACTGAAATGGCAGACATAATAAGCTATATCAAAACATGCTATAGATATAATCTCACCATGAAAAAAATGAATTAGATATAATCAATCTGCCAAACATCCACACCAAATTTCCCAAGTTTATAGTAATGCTATAAACATATAAAACCCGCTTTGGCAAGTGGATGGTTAGAAGTGTCAACCGTGCGTCACAGTTTGTGAAGTAGTTTCAGCCTGTTTAATTTTCTTCTTTTTCTGTGGAAAATTTGTGATGAATGCAGCCAGGGGCTCCTCTGTGTTTTCACATCCACACTGTGCACATAAGATTTTTAATTTTGTCCTTGTTCTGCCAAGAAGGGAGTGAACTGGCAAAGCATCAGGTCCAAGCAACAAACAGCATCTACCCAGCTGCTTTGTGCCGATACATCTCTTGCTGCTCAACAGCATAGAAACCCTGTGCTTTGTTGTGCACAGTGAGATAATGTAATTCTGCTGATTTAATTATGCATAGGTGCATCTCTTCCTGTGTCTGATCTGTGCTCATTTAGTGCCAGCCCGAGCGATTAAAACCCCGTCAGTGCATGAATTAAAAGCAACCACATGTGGACAGGCCGCACTATATGCTTTGAGGGGAAACAAAAGAGTTTTGCAGCTACTGATTTGATCTGTGTTGCCTTTTGTACGACAGTTGTGATGTGTTAGGGGATGCTACTCTCCACATCTCTCACTTTTGTACCTTCCACAGTCAATATGCCAACTTTATATTATACATGGAAATGTAATCGAAAGACCTGTTACATGTTTTTTTTTATAGTATTATTTCTTCATGAAAGAGTAAGAATTTTGACTTTGCTTAAGATTAATCTATTTTAATGATATGGTTTAGTTAATGGCACCTGAAAATTAATTACAAATAAGAAAAGCTCATGGATCAAGCTTCTTTGCACTGATACTCCTCTGAACAGAGCATGTGTTCTATCATAATATTTGACATCTGGCTGTGTAACTGTCATTAAAAAGGAATCAGTGCTTTAGAAATGGTAAATGCACATGTTGTAATTACATTTTTTTAAACATTTATGAGCATTATGGTGAATGAATAGCATTTTACCACTCTTTGAGGCCAATCTAGCTGCACTGAAAGGGCCCAGTCTGAAGAGACAATAGGAAAGAACGTATATTGAAAATCGGTTAAAGACATGATCAGTGGACCATTTCTATCCCCTGCCTGTGCTGTGGCTGTGTCATAATGGAACAATATGAGAATGTGAATGAGATGAAAATGTGTGCAGCATTTCTTATTAAACTGAAAGCAGTTTTTGTAAAGAGCAACAACACGGTGACGCACGGACTGTGGTCACAGGGCGAAGTAGATTTGAAGCCCACCAGCTTCTCGGAACTGCAGAAAATCCCGGACAGCTCATCTGTTTTGGGATGTAATTACATGAGGACTAAGGATATTCCCAAACAAAGAAAAGCTGTGCAGCAGGAGTTGGGCTTGAAATCATTTTGTTTTGACATATACATTGAGATAGTTGTGTGTTTTTCTCTTGAACACAGTCGATAAATACAATCTTGGCTAGTCATTTCTCCAGGTAAAGCTTGTTTGGCAAGCCACCCACCGCCTGTTTTAAGCTGCTCCAAACAGAAACCAATTAGTGAGTTTATTTGCATCCCCCACCTCAGAGCAGATGCCGACCTGAGACCCCTCAGACTAAAGGCAGGATCCATCTCAGCCTCACCCTGGAAGGGTTTATAAAAGAAACGGTGTGTTTTGTTTTTGGAACCAACATGTTTCTGTGCATTTATGCTTTCTGAACTCTGCCTCTGCTTGAGCTGTTGTGAATCCCCAGCATCAGACCCTGGGTTAATTGGTAGAGCTTGTGTTCTCGGTAAACAGCATGCTCCAATCGCTAGGGTCATGTTCAGAGCAGAGGTGGGCATCCCTCAAACTAAGCCTCAGCCCTCCTGCCTTCAAACGCGGATCATCTGTTAAGAGACTGTGGAAATGAATAGATTTTAAATGACTGGGTCAGAGTTAAGGGAGAGGCCAGATGCTCATCAATTATTATCAGTTTTCACTGAATTGTGATCGTCCAGAGGATTTCTTCTTTTTTTTATTTCATCTCAATTTATTGACCTCTGAAATTTAATTGATTTGTTTTCTTTCCAGTTATCTTGGAGACGGAAGATTTCACTTGGAATCAATCATGATTGCAAACCCAGATATCCCTGCCTTCAGGTATTGTGAAACAAAGCATGTTTTTTATTTTGTTAAAAAATTTAGACATCTCTGCTCTTAATGTTTATGTAAAAAATGTGTTTTTTTAACACAGTTTATACATTTTAATATTGAAAATATGGTCTGGAAAGGTGTGAAGAAAATAATATGAGGTAATAAACTGATTTAAACTTATCACCTCAGGTATTGGGCATGTTAAGGGAATATTTTTTTTATGTTTCTCAAGGAACAAATCACATGCATCATCATTATTGTAGTAGTTTGTCCCGACGATGAAATGTTCTATTCAAGCGACCGTGCTTGCATGCAAATTAAAATTCAGCTATACACATATGCACTGCAGCACAGATCAAAAGTTATTCTCATAAACCAGATTATTATCTCATGTGTACCCCTTGTACAAGAGAAAAGGATATCAGAACCTCAGAAATGCCTCTATTATCCCTAAGGTACACACAATCTCCCTTCATACTTTAGCTTTTCATGATTGAATTTCTCATAGTTCCTTACATTTATGTTCTCAATACTCAACAGCTGGTGCTCTGCATGCAATCTTCTGTCTGTTTATTTTTGTGCTCACATCCAATTAAACGCAGTTTGTTTTGGCTTTTTCTGTCTTTGCCTGTTTGTAGATATGACCCCTACAGTAAAGTCTTCTCCAGGGAATACTATGATCATGAGGCCATGCGTGCCTTAAGGCTGCAGGCTATCGACAAGGCTCAATCCGCTGATAGGTGGGGCCTTATTATGGGAACACTGGGCAGACAGGGCAGTCCCAAAGTCCTGGAGGTGAGTTATGTGTTTGGAAAAATGAAAAAGAAATAGTTGCAAATCTCTACTGTCCAATCTTAGTGTCATCAAAATGCTAAGTGTAAAATATTTAAAACTACATCACCTGTGTGTCTTGTACCAGCACATATTTTAAGGCTTTTAATGAGGCTCCTCTTGTATGGTAAAATCTAGACTTGACAGTTCAAGTTAGCATTGATGTAAAAATGTCAACCGGAGATCAGAGAGAAAAAAAATTGTTTTAGAATTGCAGGAGAGGACGGAGTTGAAAGGAGATTTGCATAAATACTCTTCATCTCTCCCATAGCAAGCTGTTGAGATTAAGAAGCGTTGGTGATAACCTACAAATGAGAGGACAGAGCTACCTCTGATAAGAGCACAGTCATAGAAATGTCTCATAATCCTCCCAAGGACAGTGGATATCAGCAGTTTTCTTAACCTGTTCTTACCAAAGGAACTGTACTTATATCAGCAGTTTTCCTAACCTATTCTTACCAAAGGAACTATACTTAGATTTTATTTTTTCACTTTGGTCGCTCAGTCCACTGCCCAAAACTTCAAAAGCAAAATCACTAAGGGAGCCGAATTCCTTAAAGTTCCAAAACAGATTTATATGATGGCCTGCACTCAGGGGATGTTAATCAGCTAAAATTAAGGGCAAATGTTTTTAATGTACCAACGTTATCTCTGCATATTCTGTCTCTGTGGTTTATAAAGATCCAGTGTGTGGCAAATAGAAGGCAACACTGAGGGCCTCTGGGTCCACAACTCCTGCTCGTTTATAGGAAAACTGTTTCTCTGTTGTGAAATTACGATTGAAAATGAACAAGTAAAGATGTTGACCTCAACTGCAGATGTGTACCAGTTTTGCAGACTTTCTGTCCTAAATCTTTTTAATTTGATCAAATTGTTATAGACCCTTTGTTAATTAAGTTGATTATCATGATCACCTGTTATTATTGTGTAGTCTTGACTAAACACCAAATTAATAGAGTTATATGTGAGGCCTAAGATTAATATCTGTTTAACTGTGAGGCAGAACCTTAGGAGTTTCACTGGTGAGTGAAAATGCTCAGTAAAGGTGAATGTGCTGGAGTTACCCTGGACAGAAATACATTTTGTGTGTTGATTTCAGGCCCTAACATTGATTATTCTGTTTTTGTCCTCCTAGCACTTAGAGTCCAGGCTTCAGTCTCTGGGAAAGTCCTTCACTAGGGTCTTACTCTCAGAGATTTTCCCGAGCAAACTGGATTTGATGGCTGATGTGGATGCGTGAGTACTAAGACACCATCTTATAAACACAAAGCATTTGCTCTTTACCACTGAGCCGCACCTGTCTTTTAAGCCATTCCCAAGACAAAGCAAAAGTCACACAGCTATATATTTCGGCACGTTTTTGAGAAAAACCTGGACGTCATTATTAGAGTCTGAATTTCTGAACGCTGTCACCTTAACAACCTGAATACTAGATGCATCCATCTATTTTCGACCACTAATCCCAAGTTCGGTGGCAGAGGCAACAGGCTCATGAGCAAATCCAGACATCCCTCCCCTCAGCAGCACTCCCCAGCTCCTCCTAGACGATTACAAGGATGAGCTCCCCATGGACGGGCTCTGCAGGAGGAAGCCTAACCAGATGTCCAAACCAGCTCAACCGAATCCTTTCGATGCAGAGGAGCAGCAGCTCTAGTCCGCTCTCATTCCAGATAACCAAGCTCCTTATACTCTCTCTAAGGCTGAGCCCAGCACACCTCCAAATAAAATACTTTTAGGCCGATACATCCGTGACCTCGTAAATTTCTGTCACAATCCAGATCCTGTGACAATAGGTAAGAGTTTAAACAAAGATGGGACAGTAAATTCGGAGCTATGCCTTCTGGTTCAGCCCCCTTCTTCATCACAACGGAGCCAAGGAGCTCCAATGCAGCTGACATCTGTCCATCTCCAGCTCCAACCTGCCATCACCCCTGAACAGGAACTCACGCCCAACCGGGAGAGTATTAATTAGTCTTTGTGCATCTTAAAATCAAATGTGCAGCTGACCAAGCAGAGTAGACTGGGCCTGTCTGAAGGGAGCCTTTGTTAATGAAACAGAAACCAAAGCGATGCACTTCAGACTGTCCTGTCTCCTCCATCATTTGCATTCATTCTCACGGACCCTAACAGAGCAGTTTCAATGCACAGCAAGTCGTCAACCAGCGACTTTTGAAATGTATTCTGTAAGCATCATTGCACACATAATCCAGCAGTCAACATGACTTGGCAGTGCTTGTTATAACAAAGCCGACAAACTGTGCTCAAGCTCATAGCTTCATAAACAAAATCGGCATTCACGTTATACAAGTGGATCTATACTAACACAGAGAGGAAATTCTGTTCATGAATAATCCACTAAATTTTACTTGGTGTACTTTGGCAGTAAGGTTAGAGTACAGTGAAAATTAGTGGAATACACATCCTTGCACCCTGCATGTGATTTATCATTTCTTTGTACTTCTTTTTTATGGAATAACAAAAGTAATTAGACAGCATTTCTGCTGTTGAATAGAGCCAAAAGCCTCACATAAAGTGTAAATATGTAAATCAAAGATGACTATCAAATGCTGTTTGGCATCTGGCGTGCCACATCTACAGAGTGTCATAAACCCCCCGCCAAACAAAAACCAAACTAGAAAGCAATCCCATGATCCCATTTCATCTCCCTCCCTAAGTCCTGCTAATGTGTGCTTTGCAGTGTTTCTCACATTAGTTCTATCCATAACAAAAAGTTTTGAAGCTAAGAAGTAAAGCAAATTTCTTGTAAGATGAAGAGTATTTTTCCCTGTTCCTCTTTTATACATTTCCCATGCATATCACAGCAATTCTAGCCACTCATCATTAACCCGATATCCCGTGTACCTCAACAATACACTGAATTAGAATATTATTCTTTTACCTTTACTTTTTTCTGCCCTTTATTTTGAATGATCTTTTCTCAAAAACATACTGTCATGTTAGCAAATATTGTTTAAATATTCTGTCCCACATCCCACCTATACCCAATCTAACAGTCATTGTTGTCTTTGGAGAAAGACTCTTCAAGTTTCTTCAATATCAGGTGCTTCACACACCAGTTTGTCTGACTTATCTAACTTCCAGCCGCAGGAGCAGAGTTTTAAAATGGATAAGAGGTTACTAAGACAGTGATGTGCAACAGCTCAAATCACGCTCACAGACACAGGCAGTCTTCCCTCGCTTGGATTGGCCTCTCACTGTGGAGTAATGAGAGGTGTGATGTCTGAGGGAGGAGTGGGTGAGATGGGACAGAAGGTCTGAGAGAGATGGAGGGAAAAATGGAGAGATGCAGCGGTAGCTGAGGGGGCCGTGTTTGGAAAGAAAGCAATCGTGGTGAAAGCAATTCTTTTTCTTTGTTTTTTGGCTCTCCTCTCCATGCCGACGGATGAGTGCAACTCTAAGATTATGTAATTCAGGCACGATTCAACTATCCAAAACAAACCCTTATTAAAGACAAAAGGCTTTTCAGCTAAATCCGTTTCACCAGAAAGTTTAGTCTTTAGCTGCAGATTACAAATATGTACAATACAAGTCAAATCCCAAAATACTAAAAAACAATCTTCATTAGCAATATTTGAAAAATGGATAGATCACCTACGCATCTATATTTATTTAAATCATACTACAAGATTTAATTTCATAATTTAGAAAATGTTAAAGCCCTTTCGTTTGTAGTGTACAGTGATTCCCCATAACATAGGTACACTGCTGTCCGGTTTGGAGATGGGTGCCTTTTCTTTGTGCGGGTGCATCACATTCATTAAAATATCCAATGCTGGTTTCTCTTGCAGAAGATTCAATTCTCCCGAAGATAATTAGTAGTCCTCACTTAATCTGTCAGTGGTAAAATATTATAGATAATTTATGTACATTTTCCAGTCTCTTGTCAGGTTACTAATGATTTTAGAATAATCAGTACTTCTCGTTCATTTAAATATTTTCTTCCTTTTTTATTTTTAAAAATTAAATGTCTCCAAGCAAATTGGCTCAGGAACTCCCAATAAAATGCAATTACAGCACACACAGCAACATTCAAAATGGCTGTAAAATCAAGTCAGTTTCATTCTACAGCAGACTTAAATACTGAAGCTGAACATTATTCATCTTTGTAAATATAGAGTTTGCTTTTTTTAATGGCGTCTTTTTCTTTCCTGCTCTATTTTTGTTTTGTTATTATTCCCAACTGGTTAGGTTGGCTAGTGGTTTGTGAGAAATCAGGCATCCCATACATGCGAGAATAGAAACACAAACCATGAAGTGGTTCTGGGCTATATTAAATCTACCTATGTCTAAAGAGGAGAGGGAGGATAGAGAGAGAGGAAACTGAGAGACAGAGGGATAAAAGACCACGTGCAGCTTCTCAGCACCAGCAGACAGAGCACACAGTGCAGAGCCCACCCCCAGGCTTTCTCTGTCATTAAACACTCACATATTCACCCGTGGAAAGACAGAGACACCATTAGCATATACTCTTAAGTGTGTAATTAGGCTGTCCCCAAGCAGACTTTAAACTATTGTACAGATATCTGCACACCGCATACACACATTGCAGATAGGGAGTAGTGCTACCCAGTGCGTATCTGCCGCCTATGTCTGTTTTAAATGGAGTTTTTGCCTATATTTAAATTGTGTCGCATGTTTGGATTCAGCTCAGTTAGCTCAAGGCAAGCGTTTCTTACAGCAGGCCTGAAAGGTCAGGTTCTTTTTACCTATTATGGGCCAGGTCTATGAGCCTAATTGAGGCATAGCCATGCAGGTGGTGGCCTCACTCCCGGTGTTGGGATGTAATGGTCCACAGCAGGTACCATTACAGAGCCGGCCGTGCCGGGGCTTGCATTCCGCAGCAGCAGTGCATGTCATGCAGTTTTACTTAAGCGCAACACAGCGTGCATCCCACTAGTGGTGAATCGTGCTCCTCTTCTCCATGTTAAAAGACTCACTGAAGAAAACACATTCTTACGCAACACCAGTCCATCAACGTTTTATTCACTGAGTTTGTGATAGCTTTATAATTAATGGTGAACTGAATGTAATGCTTAAGGCTGTCTTTTTTTTCAATGTTCTTCATGATATTCGTCCTCTACAGTTTTGGCTTGATTGAAAGCTAAATAAGGAGTAACCTAAGGGGCCGTACTTTTTATGGGGTTGACTGAGCTCAACCTTCTGCACACTTCCTTTGCCAGTCAGCTTTGTTCAGAAGAAAATCGTTGTTTCTCAGTAGACTTGTTCCGAATCCCAATAGTAACATGCAAAAGCTTGTTGGGTCAAGAACACTGTTCGATAAGTACAAAAATGACACATCCCTAACTTTTTAGCTTAGCTATACATACATAGAGATTCAGTGGGTATACATACGTACATACATAGAGCTAAAGTGATACCAAACATTCGCTGTTCACATTATTTTCATGTGGCTTCGGTGTGTGGTGGTTCCAATGCACCCACCGTGTTTAAATGTCTCTAATTATAGAACAGATGATGATGGACCTAAATCTCACATTTCAGATTGCACCATTTGTCTAAACTTAGCAAACTTAAGTCTTAGTGTTTGCTGCTAATGTCCCCGCATCTGCTGAGTCTCAAATTACAGGGATGAATAAGAATTCACACTTCGGGGGAATATTTATTTATTTATTTTAAACTGCATTATTTGAAAATGAGAAAATGCCAAGTGTCTGCCCAGAGGGAGTTGAATATTTCTGTGACAGAAAGCAGACTGAAGGGAGAGTCAGCAGTGCAATCAGTTCTGCAGCTGAGAAAGTGTGTGAAAGTGAGGAAACGAATAATAGGCAAGAGGAGAATGTGGGTCATTATTATTAACTTGAAAGTATTCAATCAAAAGAAGGAAAAATGTTTTTCGTTTTTCATGTGTTTACCATCGAGCCTCTGGCCCTTTGCTTGTTTTTCTCACATGTCAAGTTGTTATGTTCTTCCTAACATTTACCTTCCTTTAACTATTTTTCATGCACTGCCGCTCAATCCATATTTGTCAATATTTCTGACAGAGGTTTATCATAAGGATTAGGGACAAAGGATGGTACACTGCCTCTATAGAGATGGAGCTCTGGATAGGATTGATCTGTGAAAGCGTCATTGCCCCAGTGGTTTTCCATCTTCATTTTCCCATTGTTCACTCTTCCCTGTGGCTGTTTACATCCACACTTCTCATCCCCCTCTCAAGCATTTTACAGAGTAAACACTTTTCTCTCTGCCAATCGTCTACCTTTCCTTCACCTCTTTCCTGCTTTCTCTTTTTGCCCGTGCGGCTTCAATCCATCCTCATGTTTTCCTCCTCCTCACTCTTTCTCCTTATCACTGCATATCTCTGTCCTTCTCCTTCTTTCTTTTTGCGCTGCCTTCCCATCTTTCTAATACACAACACCCACCCCCACCCTGTCTGCGAGCTATGTAGGCTACCTCCGTGGAGACCAGCTGGTGCGGTTTTTTTATTCACACTCACCTAACCTCTCCCATTCTCTTTCACAGCATTTCTGCTGTTTTTTAACTCTCTACCCCTTTTTGCTTTTTTTTTTTCTTCTGTTTTTGGATCACGAAGTAGATCCACCCAACTGGATCCCTACATGCCGTCCTCCTTCCCCTTCATTGTCCTCCATCTTATACTGGCTGGCTGTGCACTCAGAGTATGTACTGTTGCCTACTTTAGAACTGTTGCAAATCAGTGCAGGGCTCGCAAACAGATGCAAGTGCTCAGGTGGAGGGAGGCTCCCCGCACAATCCACCGCATTGTGGATCCACAAGCGGTGTGCAGTCGCAGATGTGCCCTGCCTGTCTAATAGGATATTGGTGTCTCACCCTCTCTCTCGCTGCTCCCGGCTTGCACACACAATTGCTCTCATAAATGTGCATTTGAGCAAAAATTGAGACCTTGTCTTTTCTCGCAGGTGGGTCCAGATCGCTTGCCCACGTCTTTCAATCGATTGGGGCACAGCCTTTTCCAAACCCCTGCTGTCTCCTTATGAGGTAAACATGCACCCTGCACTATCTCAACAAGCTGCCACTCACCTCTCAGTCATACACATGCCTAGACTTCCCTAACAGTCAGAGGGGCTCTTTACAGATGTCCCCAGTGAAGCATTTAGCAAACTCCCAGAGACAAGTTACCATGTTAAGTATATCGGAAAGAGCAGCGGATTTACGTAGCCCTCATCAAGGCCTGCTTTTGCTTAAGATGAACTATCTAATTTATTCCTTTCTCCCTCTTCCTCCACATGCCATTAAGGACACCAGCACGCTCGCATACAAAGTCCCATGAGCAGCAGAATAGCCCCCTCTGCTGGAATCAGGAAAACACAGTCCCCTTCCGTTCTGCAGCTGTTTTGTTTTTCTTAAAGGATGGAGTAAGATCAGACATCAGCCTGTAAGGATCCTTTCTAAAAGGAAATGTGAGAGCATGTGCTACTGCAGTGCTTATCACGAAAAAGAGGCAGACTTGCCTTTGTTATGGGCTGGCCAACTAAATGCTACCCATGAATTGACTGGTTAGTATTTATCAGTTCATTCAAGAATTTTCCCCATGAAACCGTTTATTTAAATTCCTGCAGAAATGTCTGCAAGGGGCTTGCCATCCTGAATATTAAATTGTGATTTGTGCTGTAGCTGTGTTATGCCAGTTATATTTCTTAATGCGCTGCTTGTCGAAGCACATGCACTTTGGAAGGAGGCCATCAAGTAAAACGACAGCATTTCTCAAAGTAAAGTTCGTATTTTTAGGTTGCCTAGAATAGTCCCCAGCAGTTATGAGAGAAACATCAATGTGTTTTGTTGTATTCCTCAGTGTTACTTTAGGATTTACTTAGTTATTTGGGTAATGCCTGTATTTAAATACTTTCCAGATGCACTTGTGTTTACATGAATGTGATATGACTTAATTCCTCTTGATCTCAAACCTTTGAGAGCCATGCGTCAGCTTGCTGTGCTTTTCACTGTGGCATTTAGGATGGAGATGAGGAACAAGATGGGAGGGTGGAGTGAGCACAGAGAAGGGGTGGGGGGGGTGCAGCATTTATTTTCAGTGCTTCTCATGTTATATTTATAGTCAATAAGACACACTTGGCTCTCCTGTCAGAGCAGGGATTAGCAAAGGAAGCTAGCTTCCACGGAGATGTGCAGTTGGTGTGAGAGGGGAGAGGAGGAGAGCAGCGGTTAATAGCTGCAGAAATAAGAGACGGATGGAATGAGGGGTGGAAGTTAGAAGATGTTTTGAGAAAGGAAAGGCCTACAGATTTACATAAGAAAGCCTTAGGAATTTCAAAAGATATCAGAACGTTTGATTTACAGGAAAAAATTTTTTTTTTTTCTTATATTATATTACATTTTTATCATTTATTAAAACACAATTTCACGTACATATAAACTTCCATTTTAAAACGAAAGCAATATACTACATATATATACTACAACATAAGTATGTTAAACATTGCAAAATCTATTTTAATCAGTTTTATTTTATGCTTCTTCTGCTTTCATGTACATGCTTGTTGTGTACTTGCAGATTTCACTGGCAAATATTCTGCCAGTTTTTGTTTAAAAAAATAAAAATCAGAATTTTCCATCTGAATTACCGGTAGTCATCTTTGCTTTAAAATAAATTATCAGAAAAAACATTGATGTTTTTTAAAATTTTCTAATATTTAAATGGCTTGATTCTTATTTATCATTTTATTCATCCTGAAGCCTTGGCATCCATATAGTTTCAAAATTCAATTAGATGGAAATGCTGGATGAATAAATTCATAGCAATACATAGCAATAAGAGCAATATGTATTTGTTCATTTGTTATGCTTGTTTATTAATCTGCTATCCCATTCCACTGTTCTATTTAGTATTGAGAATCATTATTCACTGGCACTTCTCCATATGGAGCAGTCTGCACTTATGTCACAGGACTGTCGTGCTCTTGCTGTTGTTGTCCTCTAACAGCTGTTGTGTCACACAATGCAGCTGCACAGGGATAAAATCACAACTTCTACGCACAAGCTTAATGTTTTGTCGCCTGCCTTGTCTGTGTGTATAGTCTGTTGTGTTGTCTCATCACTGTGGTTTTCTGCAAATTGTTTGCTGAAAAACTGAAAATGTAGAATTAGATACGAAGGACATGCATAAAAAATCAGTACATTGGCACCTCAAAAAGCACTTTTAACATCTTTAGCTCTTGTTTTTTCTTTTGATTCAAAGATTCACTTTTCATTCACTCATTATATTCCAGGCGGCTGTTGCTCTACGTGAGGCAGACTGGAAGGAAGTATACCCCATGGACTTTTATGCTAATCAGAGCTTGGGACCGTGGGCTCCAAACCACCCCGACAACCAGCCGGCCCGGCCTGCTCGTAAAAAGAACCAGGTGAGCTGGGCTTTGAGATAAAAGTATAACTAGCGAAGAGGAGAAGGTTGAGCGAGAAGGTAGAGAAGGTGTTCAGGCTAAGTTCTGATGGTTTCTATCTAAATGTTCCCATACTGACACCCAGTGGCACGGTGACGAAAGAACATGTATGTGGGCATTTCTCTTAAAGGAATTGCTGTAACCATCATTCCTTTTTGTTTAAGAACAAAAAAACATGATCTTGAACACACCTGTGTGAATATACCATGTAGTGGCCATATTGCGTAATATTTTAATTAATGTGTCTGAGGTGGATAGCACATCTCTTCCAAGTTTTTCATGCTGTCCCACTGCCTTCCAGCAGAGACCAGGCTCGGAGCCAGCCCCTCCCGCCAAGCAGTGTGAGCAGAGTCCGTGCACCCCCTGCGGCTGTCAGAAGGAATGACCAGTGCCATTACGGACCACGCTGTCTTCCACTCATCTCCTGGCTGCCTGAGAATGGTCAAACCAGAGGAAGAGAGTGGGTATTACTGTGGGCCATATTTAAGCGGCCGCGGCTAAAGCCAAAGGAGGCTTCAGCCTTATCAAAAGGATTACCAGCCATATCAAATCCCCAATCTTGCAGGACAGCAGATCCCACCAAATTCAGTGCTCTTTTTCACATTTAATCTTTGCTCAAAAACAACGCAAACTGAGAAACTGCTCATGTGTTCAAGCTCAAGATTTTATAATGCTGTGTCAAATTTTCAACTTCCCTTTATTATTTGTTTCCAAATCTGTCAGACATGTTGTAAGAGGCACTTTTCAGGAATATTGCATACATTAGTTTTTTTTTCTTGCATTTCTTGTAAAAACTTTAAACCAGTAAACGAGGACTAGAACCTTGCTTCTTGTGTGTCATTGCTTTATAGAGTAAGCCTGTTTTTAAATCTGAGAGCTGTGAGTTCCTCGATGTTTACAGAGCTAGTCACGACTGCTGTCCAACCCCATTACTTATTTATGTTGGAGTCTGTCGATAAATAAGTAAACAAATGAGCACTCAATTGCTGCATTTCTCTACACCAAAAACTGATTGACAAGACCCTGCTGTAACCACGGCCAGAACTGGGGAGCTTGCCCCTTCTTCCCCAGGCTCTCAAACAGTGTCTTTTGTGGTTACGGTCTGGAGGATTTTGTTATTTGCCTAAAACTGCCGGCCTTATCTTGTCAGATTCATCATCGTGTCTCCGTGGTAACAGAGGCCAGTGTGATGCAGGCATCCTGCAAGGTATCAATATTTCTCATGATGGGTCTTGGAAGCAGCAGTTCTTTTCAAGAGCTCAGTACTTGCCACCATACACTGTGCGATCCAAAATGGACAAGAATAAATTATTGACCCACAGAGCGCTCAGTATCTCACTCAAGCTGATGTTTTATTTATTTTTTCGGGCATATTCTGCCAGGAATGAAGAGGCAGTATGTTAAGAAAACCATCCTCTTCACCTAGAGTATGCAGATTCTAATCTCTGTTGTAAGAAATCCAAGTAAAAACAGAAATTATTTCTCCTTTAAAACGCCATCAAAGACGGCAACAGATGGCATTACTGTCTGGTTAGGGATTCTTTAATTGATGTTAAAATATTATTGGAATTTGAATGGCTTCCAGCTGCTCAGATACAAAATCTTAATATATTTTTGGATTTTTAAACTTAATAAGGACTACAGAATCAATATTCAAATACTTAAATACTTGAACATTTGAATAGAATAGTTTTTGTTAATAAGGGCTTTTTGTACATATTTTAAATTAGCAATCTAGTATAATGTGTGAATTAAGAAATGTCATAATTACAAAGTAGTGAGGATCACATTCATTATATTCATTTTTAGATTATAAATAATAATATTACATATCCATGTTCTTGCTCTAGAAGTTATTGCTTGATCGTAACTACATTGAAATGTAAGTCCTCTGTATTTTCCTAAGTGGGTTCTTCTGATATCCAGTTTGTAAGCCCATAGAAGATATTGTGCAACTCTGTAAGACCTGCGCTTTGGTGAGATTGCATCTGTGGATTTGCATTCGCACTGACTCACGGCATCTTTATAAAACTGAAATGTACCTGGTATCATGCACAAGAGTTGAGTGACCACTAAGTGGCACTATTTTCCTAACTTATTTGCAGTCCGCTGGCATTGACGCTGCAGACAGTGCCAGCAGCCCATGTGTTTTTACCGTTAATCCAGCTCTGCCTTTCCTCATCTTGGTTGACAGCACATCTATTTTGGCATAAGTGTTTGCAAGGAACTCCCCGTGCATGGATTTATCACGGCACTCCAGAGGAAGAGTTTTTAAATCAAACTATCATCGTGCACTTAATGCATCAGGTACTCAGGCCTGTAACCCTTATATATTCCCCCAGTGTTGCCATTGCTGCCTGGATGGCTCAAAAGTGGCCATTTACTGTATTCTCAACAACCACTTACTATCTGTAAAATTAGAGATTAATTATTTAAAAAATACACATCCTCTTTAGCAATATATGAATTGTCTGGTTTGCTTTTCGGTGGCTTTGTCTGGTACCTGCCCGCAGGAAAAACATGTCTGCACTTGTGATGAATTAGGTTGTTTTTGTGTCTGACCAAGGAGAGTATGAGTCACAGCAGTCTCTAACTGTCCCATCCTCCCTCTCATTTTCACTGTCCCCATGTGCTCGGCACCTTCTTGCACGTCAGCCGGTTTACATTTACCCTCTCACTGTTTCCCAGTATTCATGTATATCGTGTTATGCCACATTTCCTTTTGTCGTTATATCTGTATTTTTAGCTTAATTAAATCAGGCATGGGCATAAAAGCTGAGAATTGTAAATGCCTCCTATGACTCAATGCACTACAGCAGAAATAAACAGAGGAGGTGGAGATTTGTTTTTTTTTTTGTTTGCTTTTGTCGCAGGGTAAGGTGTGGCGTTTGAGGACCTGTATGCGAGACCCGAAAAGAGCCTGTAAAAGTGATGTGCATTTCACTGTCATTTACTGGATTACATCAAAACTGAGCAAAACTCGACAGACTCTCTTAAACGTACCTGTATCTCAAGGGGTATGCGGGAGGGAAAAATAAGAAAGGCTAAATTGATATGAACCACTTAAGAGAAATGCTTTACAAAAGATTTTTTTTCGAATACGCTGTTTCCTTCATAATGGATGTCTTATGTAGTGCAGCACTTGTAGTTTTCAATTTCAGATTAAGGTCTTAGAAAAGCTGCATACTGACAGTGTCCAGATGATTTTTGCACAATTTGGATATTTTTTATAAGAAAAACATATATTTTCCTGAATCTTTGTTAAAAAATATTGTTTTAGAGCCTATGCAAATATAAAATGTATGTTGTTCATAAGTTAACTGGACTTTAGCAGGGAGCAACATCATCTCACCTTGTGTCCACTTTCTATAGCACTTACAAAGTTCAAAATAGAAACAAAGGCAACAGGTTCATTAAGGCCAGATCAAAAGTTCTGAGCCGCTGGCTTAATCAAACAAGTCTGTTGTTTTTGTCATAACCGGTCTAATTGCCAACTTCTTTTAGCCTGTGTGCATTTGAGAGGCTCTTGATCAGTATCTCTGTGGAAATGGTAACAATAAAGACTTTTATAGAGGATTCTGAGTGTGTGTGTGTGTGTTTGTGTGGGAGGGAAGAAGCCTAGATGCCCAAACAGCAGTGTGGCGGAAGGTTGCTAGAAGGTTGAATAAGAGTCTTAAAAGGAAAAAAAAAAAGGTGCTGTAAAGAGATGACTAATTCTGCGTAGGAGGTCAGCCTGTCCCAGATTATCCGGCCAAGAGCCACCCCAGCACAGGGCTGTCAAAAAAAAAGTCACCTCCTTCCTGAACATCCTGCTATTGATCGTCAGCGTTTGTCTCTCGTCTTTTCATCTACTTTTTCTGATAACTTATTAATCTACCCATCTTTCTTGTCATGATGAAGATGCCAAATATATTAATGAAGAAAACATAACAGTCATTAGTTAAATGTGTTTCTTTTATCCTAAGGTTTTCATGTCTTTTATAGATCTTGCAATTGACCGGCAACCTGTCCAAGTTGAACCCCACCTTATGCTGTATGTAAAAGCTGGGACAGGCTTTGGATAAAGCAGGTATAGAAAACAGAGAGAGGGAGATCTGCTCTGGGAGTAGCACTCATGTCAATTCCGTTATTTTGTGAACGTCCGGTGTATGCTCTTCTGAATAAAGCAGTCTTAATTATTAAGACTGTTCAAATGATCAAACTTACCCAACACAAGCTCAGTTGAAATCTCAATTTTCACTATTCAGTTTGTATGATCCAAATCAATTAAATTAAGAACACCATCTCTTAATTAATGTAAGGGGTCATTTAAAGCCAATATATACATTTATGAAGAGATAACATGATGCAAATAAACTCAAATCAAAGGGTTCAGTTTTTGGTTCATAGATGTCTGCAGATCTGGAAGCAAGAGCAAAAAAGCAGAGTTAAATTGAATGATTGAAATCAGGAGATGCCCAGATTTGATAGAATAATATATTTTTACATTCCAAGCATAGATGTTGGGCCTTTTAACTGATGGTAAAAAAGACCAATGTCTATTCTGTAATCAGTTTGAGAATGTTTACGTCAACATTGTCAGAAAGTGATGTTTCCAACACTTTTGTCCTCATAAAAGTCCCTATTCTAATATCCATTCATTTTTGTAACCGCTTATTCCCTAATGGGGTCGTGGGGGGAATGGAGCCTATCCCAGTTGTCAATGGGCGAAAGATGGGGTACACCCTGGACGGTCCACCTATTCTAATATGTTTCCTTGAAGTCATTTTCCTGTTCAACTTATTACATGTCTAACCATCGATGTTTTACTTACAAGTAACTTCAGATACTTAATTCCAATATCACTGTGTTGATCAAACCTCATGGAATTTATCAACTGAATATACTCTCTTTTGATAAAGAATTGCTCAAAAAGAGTGAAACAGTCCAGAACTTACCCACCAATATTCAGTGTAAATTCACAAGATGGAATACAAGTTATAAAAATCTTCTAACAACTTTTCAATTTGTAAAAATTATGTACATGGGCAAATATTTGATGGTTAGAGTCCACCTTTTTCTCCTTTGAAACTGGAATTCTATTTTCAAAAAGCCTCCAATAGAGAAAAAGATAAGCCAAGCTTTGTTGTTACTACATCAATACTACTGCAGATATGACATTTTTAAGTTTTTAGCCGGCTGAAAGAGAAACTGACCCTTTAACCTCAAGACAAGTTTAATTTATCTGAATTCCTAAAGCAGTCTATTCATACCGGGCTAGTCTGAGATCCCCTCCTAACCATGAGCTCAACTGGGAGAAATGTGAAGTACAAGTCATTGTACAAATCATAGTCTCGTATACTCATGTTCAATTTAGTTTATTTGTAAGAAATATTTACATAACATGTGTCATTCAGATTCATGCACAAGTAAAAAAGTTGAAATTACTTAAGGAATAGTAAAAAAAATATGTATTTTATGCTGTGTAACTGTCCAACCCACTAATTGTTTTATCAAATAAACATATCATTTTAAATTAATTTCAAGCAGATCCCAAAACTGTCAATCACAGACAGGACCAATTACTATCAGGAAGATGGCATAAGTGTCTCTGTTTGGCATTTCTGTACCAATAAATCTTAAAAATACCAGAATTTGTTTTCTAAGTGATGAAATGGTTACATATAACATGAACCGTAAACCTAACATGGCAACTTTTGTAAGTGCATTGTTTCAGTCTGCAACATGATGCACCGTTTATTTTTTCTTCTACTCTCTTAATGGGTGTAAGAGTGCCTTTTCAATGAAAATCTCATTTGCACCTTTCAGGTTCAGATGTGTGTTTTGCCCCCTAGCGACCATGGCTGTAGACTGTTACCAATGGTGCTGTTGCTACAGTAACAATCTAATGCCACGGTTACCATGGAGACAGTCGAAGGAATATGATTGGCTGTGGTAACCACTGGCGTCGACTTGTGGTTTTTGTGATGTTAGTGATGCAGCCTTCAGTGGTGACGGGCTCCAGAGGGAAACTTCATACCGTACAACGGCGTTTAAATCTTTAAGTGTGAGTTTTTCATCAAACGGTGCAGAGGATTGCCAGACATCAGTAGCCATGACTGTAGACTGTTACTGTACTTTGGGGGAGTTTTAGCAGTAAGCAGTCTAGAGCCAAGGTATTGATGCACTGACGGAGAGCAGCAGCATGGAACATAATCAGGCTGAAGTGAGTGCAAACACAGGCTGGTAACATGCTGAGTGAGAGAGACAGTATAATGCTGCAATTTGCTCAGAAATTAAATTCTATAACCTCATTACAGAAAACAAATTAAGGTGAAGTGAAAAAATAGGTCTAATAATTGTGTGGTGTTTACCCTGATAACACAATAGCACACAACGTGGCCTTTCCTGACAAAGGCTTTAGGCTATGTGTGGCCAGACAGACTGTTACATACCCTCTTGTGTTGTGTTTGGCGTATTGATTTCCATGCCGATTATGTATGACTCAGCCACAAGATAGGGATAGATAGGAGTGCAGGGTGAACTGGTAGCTTATGCAAGCCCAGTTGAGTAACTGTGGGACTGACGTCAGCAGTCAGGAAATTTGGAGTTAAACTGAGAACTCGACTGATGGATGCAGACAGGCATGCCGTGACACGCTGTGAAGTGGACGTGGCGTTGTTTTGTGTATGTCCGTGTGAGTAATTTAGCTCTTGGAGAAAATGCAGGATGCAGCTTTGTGGGTGACAGTTGCCAGTTAAGAGTCATTTTGGGTTTCATCCAGCTTGATAGGTTCCTCTATCCTATATTTGTCTGTCTCTCACAATGGTGGCGTGATTTATAATCACACCACCATGAGTTGTGATAATCATCCTAAAACTGTCTGTGATGGGAAAAAAATACTCTGAAAACACTCTGGGATCTTCCATCTTTTCACAGATATAGTCACACTTTTGAACTCTCTGAACTCTGTCCATGGTCCTGAAGGTTGTCCACTAACAAACGCTGCCGGCCTAGGTCCGTTCAGCTGAGGGAGCCGTAAAGATCCTAAAAAATGCGCCTCCCTATTTTCAGCAGACGTACACATGTTCGCCAGCGGCCAGTGGACTATCCTTACTATCCATGCTTGAACTATCGTATCGAATTAACTTCAATGTACAATGTACAGGGAAATTAAACTTAAGTTTAAAAAAAATTGGGTATTTTTAGAAGTTTTGAAACACCCTATAAATGTTTCAGTCAGTTTTCCGAAGGGACGCTGACATTGTGGAAACAAATCATCAACCAGATTGTTTGTAGTTGCGCTTCCTTTTCTTTTTCCTTTCTTTTTCACTTATTTTTTAACGTTTTTATGAACTCAGACAACATCCAGCACCATGGACAGCGACCGACTCTGTCCACTGTGCCAAACGCGCGCCTGGACCCCCTGCGCAGCTGGGAACTGGCGCTGAAATCTGCGGGAGAGCTTTCTAAAACAGCGCTCATTAGAATTCCGGTCGTAGCCCCCTTCCAGGAGTTACCTTGGGGAGTTTTCATCAGATCCCAGGCCTATCCCGCCCCCTCATCTCCCCAGCCCGTGTGGAAACGCATCGCAATGCAGGTTGGACTCTTACGCGCGGGCGACACGTGTCTGTGTCTTTAAACCTTTTCTGCTGGGTGATTGGAAGTCGTCGGCATGTGCGCAGGAATGACGCAAAATTGACTTCATCTCGACAGCGCGTCACGATGTCATTCCAACATTAAAAAGCCGAGAGAAAAAAATGGCGACCGATGACGATCTCGGTCTAAATAATTCAATTGAAGTCTCTCCATCGTGGAGCTGATAGACGGATGCTCGTTATAATTTGGGTCATCCTTATTCTAACGATCATTCTAACGTGGTTTTCCGACCACCTTGACTAAACAGACTGGCCTTTGCTGCTATATGAACTGAGATTTGAGTCTGAGGAGCCATCGGCTATAGGACGTCCCGCATAGACGTCTCTCGTAAAAGAATCCCTCCACATGTCGTGATTTTCTCACTCTGTATGCGGATATTCGGTGTGGTTAACATGCAATCAGCGTAGCCTACACCCCACAAGTCATTGTCGGCTGTTTTTTTTTTACAGTTGTCACTGCCCAAGTGCGCCAAAGTGACTCACACTGCAGTAACTTCAACCGTCTGTCATCTACCGTAATTCCAGAAAACGACACGCATTGGAAAATCAAGTGAAAGAAAAAGTGTGAGATTACAGGAGTTTAAAAAAAAACAATAAAAAAGCTCATCACTTGTCGATATTTCACGCCACACGTGGATGAAAACGGCAGATTTGATCAATATGAATCAATATGAATAAAGGTTAAAAACAAAAACTTACCTCTTGATCTTTACTGGTCCCAATGGAATTTTATTACTTTAAGACTTAATCAAACTGCAAAAAAAGCACAGTTTTGCTTCATTCACACCCGTAAGGTGATGGTGGCAAACTGGCTCATCTACCATTATCGTATTCTGTCTACTCTCTTCGTCAGCACAGCTGGGGAATTTTCGACAAAGATGCCTCGGTTTCTGGTTTCTTTTCAGCCTCTCCTCTCTCCGCTGCACCTCGGTATCTGAG